ACACACACACACACACACACACACACACACACACACACACACACACACACACACACACACACGCACGCGCGCACACACACACACACACACGTTACACGTCACTACATATTACAACTGTAAAACAAAGTCCGCTGCAGCATATTCGCATGGCTGTTTCGATTTGAAGGGTGGGATATGGCAGTGAATTTACACAGTACAGAGGAATATAATGGGAGAAACAGTATACTCTGTTATGTCCATTGTACTGTTCATGTTTATAGGCGACGGGTACCACTTTTCATCAGGTGGGCCGCCAGTTTGTTTGCCAGCCTAAGTTGTATAAAAAAATCGCGATATTTTAAAAAACTACTGAGCGGATTTTCATGCGGTTTCATTTATCGATAGAGTGATTCTTGAAGAAGGTATAGATATATGTTTTTTTTATTATTATTTACGGTTTTATGTAAATTGGTAGAAATGTAACGATGATTGATAAAGATATTGGAAAAAATCATCTCGGAGCTTTCACTGAAGACGCTGCTTAATATTCTTCGGGTTGCTTCTCTTTTGTAGATCTACAAAAAAGTCTGCGTTGGCAGTATAGTATAGTACAGTATGTCTATCTTTTAAGAACATTATAATGAGTATAATCAATCCGACATACAGTATCGATTATTATAAAATTATAAACGCTCATTAATTTGACAAAAGAAATTCATAAGGTCTCCATCATCCACGGGACGCGACGACGGGACTCGCTTGTTGCAGCCACCCCTCGCCCGCACTCCACCACCCACTGCCATCAACTTTGTTTTATAATATATATCAAAAAATGTAAGCATATATGTTCTACTACCTCTGCGAAGCCGCGGTAGCTCGTTAGTTTACAGTATTTCGTGAGAGATATTACAGCTTTTTTTTTTATCCGAATATGAAATGGACCTAGCAGTTGGCGGGAGGGGGCAAAACAATGTCTGCCGAGTCAGCTTGTAACATTATAAAATATTAATTTTGTTTTAAACTTTCTTGAAATAGGTAGACAGCTACAGTATGGAACCCGATTATATAATGCTTATGATACTTGCGCAAAAGTCGGTGATATCTAAAAATTTAAACGATACCAAAAATTACCGTTTCATAAATATACACAATCTATGTTATAAAATGAATTCTTGATAAAAAAATAACAGAAAATTGTTTTAATTGCTTTATTGAGAATTAATTGTATAACTTTAAAATTCTAACTATAAAATGTGTTAAAAGAACAATACCGGTATTTAGACATTTACAACAAGTTAAATTCGTATTCAACATATTTGTAGTCCCCCCTCCCCCCACGTCCCATGGCCCGCGCCGCTCGCGGCGCCTGCCTCACTTCGTGGCCAATTTGTGTTTAGATACACTTAATTAAGTGCGCGCACTGTTATCAACAAGGTTTGCTCCTTCAAATTTTATCTTTACCTAACTCTGCAGAAGTTGCAATGTAACGAGGGCGTGTTGGTTTATTACGCGATAAATTACCCGCAGTATATAGCGAATGGATGTATTCTGGATAGATAACGTTACGAGAGCAACATACCCAGTACCCAGTACCCAGGCGTGTGGTGGCTTCGATTAGATATCAACTGAAACGCACCGTACTCCGAGTGAACTGGGAGACACGGTGAAATGTGATAGCTAAGTATACTGTAACAAAGTGTATTCTGTCTGTCTACCTATCTATCTATTTACTCACCTAGCGACCCGCACAAACTAAATCATCATCGTATCAGTGGTTCACGGCTCACGGTCACTGCTGCCTATGTGGTCTCATAGGTCATATAAACGAGGGTTCTGTCAATACTCGCTTCGCTTAGCAGGCGGGCTGACAGCCGCAGTAGGCACGCTGCTGTCCATCACTCCACCGTTATGTTCCCTTAGTCGCCTCCTACGACAACCACGGGAAACTGAGCGGCGCGGCGCGGCGGCGGCCCATTGTATGCCGGAACTAAAGCACACAGCTAAATAAATAAAATACAATCCATGAACAAATAACCTGACAATGTAGCTTTCTGTAGCTAGGTAAGTAGGAGAATTTTAAAATCGGTTAAATACTTTTGAGTTAACCCATTATAAACGGAAAGTCAAATCTTACCTATTTATAATTATTAGTTTAGATGAATATATCCGTACAATGTGTTCTTTGAATGTGTTATGCCGTGTTTTCTGGACTAAACACAGATTAAGGACACCACACCAAATATCAAATAGTTATGACATATGTCAATTAGCAATTATTAATTAAACCAGCAACATCTTTACAATGATGTCAACTAGTTTGCTTCCTTTGCCTATCCTTTTATAAAAAGGATAAATTAAAAAAAAAGTAATAGTAATCATAATTATGAATATAATTTTATAAGTGTAGCCGGCGCTAAAGCAGCGCTTCTTGAGGTGTTGTCATCAGTGTCCCAGCAGTGCAGCGCAGCAGTGCTCGGCTGGCGAGCCATACACGTGAACATGATTGCATTTAGATTTTATTCTTAAGGTCCATTCGACGTTCATTGTGAGTAGTTTTTTGGAAAGATCTGGGTTGCTTGCAGGACTTTCTTTATGCCAAAATTATAGTACCATTATTGTGTAACTTAATTCGAAAGATCATATTCATCCATGTTCGGGATTGTTTTTAATAATTAATTAATAAAATGTTTGAAGCATAAAATATAGTAAACGGAAGTGGATGATGACGAGTCCGCGGACGTAGTCCAGTGCCGGCGACCGTATACGCCGCACGTCGCGTCGATCGCACGGCTGCTGGCACGAGGACCACCGTTAGCCACACGAGTCCGTCACATAAATACGAGTATGATGAAAGTTAGTCAAGTCGATCGTATTTAGACAACCAACCTCAGTAGCTTGTAGGTACATGTTACTCATAAAAATATAGAGACATACGTCTACTCAATTTGTTGTGCTCCTTTACCGCTATTTGCTTTTGAAGTGAGTCCCTTACTAAATTTATTATTTTTTATTCCGTTATCCTTATAATTGTAGTGAAACAATTAGACATTATTATCTATCGAGAGTATATGTTTACATTCAATACAATGTAATTCGTTCGTGATTTAGATACAAAATTACTTAACTTTATAAACACATCTACTAGAAGGTACGGTCCACGTAGCGAAGCCACGCATGTACCGCTACCGTTCGAGAGATGTCCATTATAATAGTAAATATTCGCCCATCGTCGACACAGACAGCTTCACAGGACTATTGCTCCTAATAACTTCATACTAGAGTGTACTTCATACTGCCGTTCCGTTCCGTGCACTGGTTATTCAAGTGGATAGTTGAACGTTTGGGGGGTAATTAGAGTCTGCACTGCCAGCACTCTGTACCAAACTAAAGCTTTCCGTTGCTCTACAACCCACAAGTAATTATTTATACTTTTTAGTATACTACTTGAATAACATTAGCCCATGTATTTACGTGGCTATGGTCTTCCATGTGGCAAGTTTTAATGTAGTCATATCAGTTGTAAAATAATGTGCAAATTTCCTACTACGATAGGATTATCCTCACGACGTGCTCGCGCGTGTCGAGCCACAAACATTTAATTGTCCAATGGTACATATTATTAATCAGTGCGTACGTGCACCCTGTATCCAATAATTACGTGTCGGCGAGGTGCGCTCGGTGTCCGTGTCCGTGTCGGTGACGGCGGCCGGCGGCCGGTGGACGACGAGGGCGCGGGCTGGCGGCGCGCGGTGTGCGGCGTGCGGTGTGCAGTTGATTCTCTTGACCCTAATGCTTGACTGGTATTATTTATTGACTACACATACATAACGTGTCAGGCTGAGTGACAATATGTTGTGCATGTGAACGAGCGCCTCCCAGCTGCGGCCTGCACTTCCAAGCTTTGTACCTACAATATAAGTTAGCAATTGTTTTTAAACATATCTACTTTACACAAAATATTGTTATTTTTATTATTTATTTTATTATTACATCTAGATTCAATAGCTTATATCTGAAATTAATTAAAATATATTTTTCTTATAACAACTAGTTGTAATCTGCGACATTGCTCGCGTATATGACGATAAATATTTATTTATAAACACCAATATCCAGCTAGTTTGGTTCAACTGTTTAAGCCTGATAAACATTAAACCATCTTCATGTGCTTACACATACTATAGAAAGATCGAGTAAAGTAATTCAATTTTCACAATAATTGAATTGTGCGGATTAAGATGTTATGAAAAAATCGAGATGCCGCCGCCGTGTCGGCAGGCAGCGGCGCACGGCCGCACGGCCCGGGGGCGTGCAGCCAGCGCCACGAGCGCCGTCCCACTCCCACATGGTTGGCTGTGTGGCAAATATCCAATAAAGCGGATATTTCATTACACGCGGAAAAAAACAACTGACATTCGCTAAGTATTTATTAAATCAACAGATTTATTCGTATTATAAATAAATACAATATTTTTCCATTCAATGACTGTATACCAATGTTTTCGCCGCTCAGCGCTTGCCGCCTACCACCACATGTTTAGTGTAACGTACTGCTCACTGTTCATAATCTAACATGTAAACTACTCGTACTTACCTCAGATATTGGAATATAATTATTATAATAGGATCATCATTGTCATCATATCAAACTTTAACTGGCCACTGCTGAACATAAGCCTCCCCAACGGTTGCGTTTGGCAACCGAAGTGAGGCTTTAAAGATGTTTTAAAAGGGACGCTGCTGCCCATCTCTCGCCATCCCTTAGTCGCCTCTTACAACACCCACGGGAAAGGAAGGGGTGGCCTGTTCTATGCCGGGACCACATGGTCAACTGTCTGAGCATTTTCTCTCAACTGTCTCATACTCATATGATTAGAACTGCGTGTTGAACCTATTTGTTTCCTGTTAGCTGTTGTTGTCAATTATGCTCGAGCTGTGTATAAACTACAAAAGAAATTTGTGTGCAACACCCGTGGTGGAGTGGTCCATATAATGTATCAGGACGTGTTCATGACGTGCAGGTGGCGGGCGAGGACGAGGTGCAGCTGGACGACGAGATGGAGCGCGTGGTGTGGGGCGAGGGCGAGCAGCGGCTGCCGGGCGGCGCGGGCGGCGCGGGCGCCGACCCTCGCCGCGACCACGCCGCGCCGCACCCGCCGCACCCGCCGCCGCCATACACCACCAGTGCAGGCATGTATATCATCAGCCTCTATGACAGCTAGCCAGCCCAATAATGGTATCTAAACGGTGTTACTCTGTCATAATATTTATATGGTGTCACCTTACTACTTCATCTTTATATCTAGGATATCATAAAAGGGATAGGTTTCCATTTTATGCTTTAGTCTTTCGTAAAAAGAAAAATGGAATATCAAGCCGTTTGATCACTTTGACACTCGGTTAATGTTTTTTTTTTATAAAAACGGGCCAGAATCCGAGGGATTACGAGTCGTTATGATGATAAAGTCATAATTGGTATACATGATATATTTTATGGTAAGTATTACCATCTTTTCATCCAAAATACCTTAAAATTTCAAGACGAGGGTCTTTAACCAGTAAGTGTTGCCAGTGATGACTTATGGAACCGAAACATGATCCTTTACCATGAACACGTTTGCACGTATGCAAAAGCTTCAAATTACACGGCAGGCTATGGAGAGGGCTATGCTCGGAGTTTCTTTGTGTGATAGAATCCGAAACGAGGATATCCGCAAAAGAACCAAAGTAACCGAACATAGCCCGAAGGATAAGCAAGCTGAAGTGGCAATGAGCTGGTCACATAGCTCGAAGAATCGACAACCAATGGGGAAGAAAGGTTCTTGAGTGGCGACCTCGTACGGACAAACGCAGTATAGAACGACCCCTCACTAGATAAAATGACGACCTCAAATGCATTGCAAGGAGTCAGTGGATGCAGGTGGCTAAGAACAGTCTATGGGAGAGACGGAAACAGTTCCTTATGGCAGTCTATGGGGGAGGCCTATGTTCAAGAGTGGACGGATAATGGCTGGAATGACGATGATGAATACCATCGCATTACTGAACTGAATCAAAAGGGTTTTTTGTATATGTTCCCGCTAGTCACAACTTGTAGTTTTTACAATAACACCGATGAACAAAAGTAACCGTAAACTGTATAAAAGTATTATGCGATTTGACGTTACTTTTGTGCAGCTAGTGTAACAATGTAGTAATGACGCGTAATTTTTCCTACAGACGAAACTGGGTCCCCGGAGCGGTCACAGGCGTCGACGGGCAGCGGCGCTCACGTGAGTGCCGGATCTGAGCCTCAGCAGGTAGCTAATATGCTCTAACCTCTTGCTCATATCGTAAGATTTTTTTTTATGGGGAGAAATAGACGGCACATTGTAGAGATTTTTTTTGGAAATTGAGTATTCATTGAAAAGCTTAGGAACCGCGGCTATAGTGGCGCTACCGGCGGCGGCAGCGGGCTTGAGCACCGCTCGAGCAGCGCCGGGCGGTGACAAGCGGTGCCGGCAGCCGGCGCGCGGCGACGTCGCGCGTCCTCGAACATGCTCACTGTGGCTTCGTGTTGTCTCCAATTAGCAATAACTGCACACCGCTAACCGGTCGATACACAGCAAGTTATTACATCAAGGACGACATGCTATCGTTCCGCGTTCGCCGGCGTTTCAGTCGATCTCGACTCAGCCTTGCGGCTGCCCTGGGCCCGTGTTAGCCCTCCACTTCTAGCATTGTTTGTCACTGCATCTTTTACTATTTGGTAAACAGCCCATTTGTAAATAATTTGTTGTTAAACAACTATATTAGAGTGAAGCGCGAGTTGTCATATAGTACCTGCAATTATGTTCTTTGATATAGTTATTTTTATTCAATTTAATATGTAACTGTGTTCATCAATCGTGTACTGTTTATGTTTGTTACTTCATAACTCCGATATTTGTAAGCTGAATTGGATTTTTTTTTATCTAAAAGTATATACGTGCAAATTAGTCCCATAGAAATTTGATCAAAGTCGATTTAGTAATTTAGTTTTTGAAATCAAAGTAATTGATTTTGCCACAACTGAAGTTAGCTTTTTAATGGAACACATTTTATTGTCTGTGGAGACATCAACGACAGTCTCAATCACCGCTTGTGTTTCGTTGTGGTCGCTAGACTAGCGCCTCTAATCTACTCGCGGTGCTCATAGTGTGCTGCTGTCCCGGCTCCCGGGTCTACCTACCACCCTCACCGTACCGGTACGAGTATAGTGAAACGCGCCGTACTCGCTACGTATCGGAAAGTTTCCGCCGTGCTGTTGTGTAATGATTCTAGTGCAACATTATTTTAACTCCACTGTATAAGTAAGGAGAATAATATACTTACTTTTCCAATATATATGTTATATGTATTCGTATTTCTACCGTGAAGCAGTTGTATTTGCATGGCTGTGTTTCGGATCGAAGAGTGGGATATGGCAGTGAATTTACAGGGTCCAGAGGAATAACACCTGAGTCCTTAAGAATGGCAACGCATGGGGGGTATGTCTATAGCCGATGGTTACCACTTTCCATAGGTTGGTTGTCAACTTGTTTGCCATTCTAAATGAAATGTCTGAATTATGGTGCAAGCTTTTCAAGAATATTTCAAGGAATTTTTTATCGGGATTGTTATTAGATTTGCATTAATTGTGGGAGGTTATAAGTTAATTTACAAGCGGATAAATATAACAATAAAATAATTTGTTTACCTTTCTAAATTGGAGAAATCAATGGAGAAGATTTGTGTTTAGCGATAGACAATTTAAACTTAAAATAATGATCATATAAAAAAAATATGATGTATGTAATACGAATGGGAAGTAGTGCCAGGCGCTCTACACTTCTTGATTGAATGTTGGCAATGTACCTACTTGTTACGTGCACAGATGTCAGGAGGGTGGTCGGGCTCGGGCTCGGGCTCGGCGTCGGCGGGCAGCCCCGCGTCGCGCGTGCAGTTCGACGCGGAGCGCGACCAGCGCGCCGAGCACGCCGCGCCGCCCCTCGACGACGACGCCGACAGCGAGCGCCGCGCCCAGAGGAATGAGTGAGTTCACACATATTATGTAGGCATACTACGACATTATTATATAGGATCATTATGATATCCTTTGAGAGTCCTAAATATATTAATTTGTCATACTACTCGTACATTATTTCTAACTTCTATAAGATATATACTAAATAGAAAATTATATGTCATATGCGTTGAAAAAATGAATCAAAAATGTCCCGAGTGTCTTAAGTGTATATAGAGCGTAGAACTATTTACTTCTATCTATATTAGTTCTCACAGTAATGCCCCAATGTTATCATTAACACACAGGCGGAGTACCGGTACATCGTATGATTTGAAAGATGTCAATTGAGCGATCGAGGCACGTCCTCAAATGATTATAAAGGCACATTCCGCAAAATACTCACAGATTTTAAGGAGATCTTGTATTCCGCTCAGAAATAATGTGAACAGCGCCACTAATGTTATGCACACAAGTATTGTTTAATATGACAACACACATATGTGATTAAAAGCAAACAGATGAGTAATGTGTAAATATAATACTAGTACTGTGCCGCGGCTGCTGCTCGGTGAGTAAGAGATGTTTCAAAGTTTACTCCTTAGACAAACATTATTCATGTGAAAATTATGGCATTGTCTAACTACGGCGATAAGCGATCAGCTTCGTTTAATCTCTGAATATACAAGTCTTATATTTGATTAAAGTTTAGTTACGTATTTACGTAAGCACGCAACGATCAGGGCGAAGAGCTAGCAATATTTTATTTTTGCCCCTTTAATGTTTTGTCGAAATATAAAATAAAAGTTATAACAAATAATACAACGGGTGGTTCTTAAGAAATTACGAAAATGAAATGGAATGGTGACCCATTCTATTTTTACTTTGTCAACCCGCGAGATTATCCATAGTAGTTATAACAGCTAGAGATCAGCTCGAGCTCCACAAGTGCAGTGTGGCACTAAGCAGCGATAGGTCTATGGAGATGAAGACCCGACTCCGACCGCGAGCGCGCGGTCAGCGGATGAGATCGCGCGCGGCCATCGATCCACTCCGCAGTTACGTGCTTTATTGCGTCTATGTTACGGTTTATATTGCGCGGATAATTCACAGCGTTTGTTCAAAAAGCAGGTGGGCCTTAATTTTTCTGTACGTTTATTTTAATTATTATATGGCACTATTTTTTTTATTTTGTGTATTTATTTTTTACTCGATACAGTTTACTTGTATGTCTATTTATATATTTAAACTTTATTGTCCAATAAAATATGGTACGAAACGCGGACGCGCTCTTTATTGCAGCGTTTATAGAGTTGAACGTTTTAGATTTTATGTTTCATTTGCTAAAAGAATTACCTCAAATAGAAAATTCATAATATCATGATCAAAATTCTCCCACATGATGTCAGACATCCTAACTTTGTAATATGTTGCTGCAACATTCTTCATCATTGTGTTACATATCAGCAACAATTAGGATTCTTGTCTGTACTTGGCTGACAGTGTATTCCTACGGGGTGTAGCAAAAAGGAATTGATGTAGGGCAAATAGTCTCAAATATCTAGCATGAAGTGAACAGGAAGAGTTGGTCATTACTGATTGACTGTTAATTATTAGGACTTACAGAAAAATATAAAATACTATGATTGGTCGAGAGCGTAAATTAAAAGCTAGAGAAAATTATGTGGCAATACCAATGCCTATAGTGTGTTATCTAGCAGGTTTTATATGGCATTATTACAACTACCTCGTGGAAGCACCTTTCCGAGAGATTATCAACTTTAATGATCACTGTTATCTTCAAACGGTGAACCCGTTTCACGAACATCATAAAATGTACAGATGGATCATTACAGATATCGAAGTGCAGTACTAGATACGCGTAACAAATTGTCATTCTTAGTGAGGACACATATTTAGAATTTTTTTTATACTTCTTTGATGGCAAACAAGCAAAGGCCCGTCTGATGATAAACGGAATTACCGTAACCTATGGATGCCTGTAATACCAGCGGTGTCACGCTCGCATTGCCGACCCTTAAGAAACCTTAATACGCTCTTTTTGAAGAACCCTATGCAATAGTCTCCAGGGAAAGCCTCGGCAGGAAGATCATTCCACAAATTGAGTGTTCGTGGGAGGAAGTTGTTCTGAAACGGCAATCTGCGTGACCATTCTGGTTCGAAGGTGTGAGCATGGATTCCCTGCCGATGGTGTGCAATACGATGGTGAAAGGTCTTTAATGTGCATCACATTAAAGAGTTCTTCAGAACATAATCCGTTATATAATCGGTAAAAAATGCAAAGAGAGGCAAAGTCTCGCCTTGAATTAAGGGGCTCCATATTGCCTGTTAACATGTGATCATAGATAATTCTCATAGCACGCCTCTAAACCACATCAAGAGAACTAAGCTGGAACCCAGCTGCTGGTAGCTCTCGCCCAGACGTGAGAACTGCTCTCCATATGGGGTCGGACTTGCGACTTATATAATAGCCGTCTCTGTCCCGGGGTGAAGTACTGCTTCGCTTTATTTAGCATTCCCAGCTTTTGACTTGGCCCTCCAAATGACTTCGGAACTCAACCGTACTGGAAATGTCGATACTAAGAATTTCAAAGTTTTTTCCGATGGTAACGGACGTGTTTTGAAATTTCGGAGCCACAGCAAATGGTGTTTTCTCAGCGATGAACGCGCAAGCTTGTGTCCTAGTAGGATTGAATTTACCTAAATATTTATGAGCAGAACTATAAAAGAAAACTGGAAGAGATCGCTTTTAGCGATAAGGCCGCCCATTGTTTTCTCATTATGATTATTTCTTTTAATTGTTTATATTTATAATAAGTTTAGTATTGTAATCTTTTGGAGGAAACAATAAAGAGTATCTATCAATCTATAAAAATGAAGCTGTTTTATTATTGACCAGGGGATGACTATACACGTACAACATCTGCAGGAGTGCCTCTGTGTTCCTCGTTTATTTTGCCACGCCATCACTGCAAGCCTATATTTCCGTTTCTATGTCGTATAGTATAGAGGCATAATAATAAGAATTAATCTTATGATATAAACTTAGTCGTTAGGAATGGCAACCCATGAGCAATGCCACCATAGTGTATTCTATGATGTCTATCACCCTGGTGCCACTGTCAAATGGGAATCCTATGTTGTGATAATAATAAACTTAATATACTTGTTGGTACATGGTAGCGGTCTAGTGCCTGTATTCTGAAGGTGGTACACATTCGGTTTCAATCGTAATCATCATCACACGTTGTGATTGGTTGTTTATGACCCGTTATTGATAAATGAGTAGGTGCGTGACGATAGGACAGTATGTGTGTCACGAACATCGTACGCCACCAGTGGGTACTTACACGAGCAACACGAGTCTCAGCCTTCACCTGGAACCTTAAATTAATGCCCTAATAATTAATTGCAGAACGAATAAATACCTCTGCCGCGCAATCTTTATTTATTTATTACAACAGTGACTTTTGTTTGTCGATAGACAAATATAGGTTTATAATACTGGTCTCTGCGACAATATAAAGTACCTACTTGTAGCTGTGTATGAGTGGCAGACCGACAATGCGCAGCCTACTGTGCATTGTCCGGCCGTCAGGCGTGTGGTAGCCATACGTGTCCTCGTATGTAACAAGCCGGGAGGGAGTATAATAATATTAGAAATGTTTGTTGTTTGCCCCGGATATTCAGTCAAGTATGAATTTTTGATCACCCGTAGTCCCGGTACGAGAGTTTACAGAGTCGTCGATAAGAAATGTACTTACGACTAATAATATATTAACAAATAATAAATTAATATAATACTAGTAGCAGCATTACACCACCTGATAGTTGTTTGTATGCGAAAACCACTGAACTGATTTCATTGAGTTTTTCCCAACGTTCAATGGCATTATACGGAGATATCGAAGGTGATTCTCTGAAGGCTAAGAAATAAAGAAAAAACTAAATGTTTTTTACCTATCCAAGGTCGACCTTGTAATACAGAAAATTACTGAAACAAGTTGAACGCAGCTTTCAGCGTGCGTTACAGTATATAAAAGTACTGGCCCTCGCGTCTGTGCCTGTGCAACAGAGTTCATTTACTGTTCTATCCATTGTAGTATCTACTACTAAGGAAAAAAGACGTGAATGTGAAAAAATTAAATCTGACAGCACGCCGGGCGTGCTGGTGCTAATTAATATTTGTAGGATAGTTTCCTGCTAAGTTAATAGTCGGCCACATTCCATCCTTTATACACAGACGTGTTATATTTTACGGTATAACCACCGGGTCAATGGGTATTACGCTCGTACGTATGCACGTAAGGCGGTAGAGTCGCAATGTAGATGTGAGCCACTAGCGTCGGCGGCGGCGGCGGTGGCGGCGGTGGCACGGCGTCGAACTGCGGAAGTGAGATGCCACCTGATAGTTGGCGACAAAAATAGTGTGCAGTGTGGTGGCATTGGCATTGTCCGCCCTGCCGTGAGTAGTCGCAGTTGTCGCGAGTACTATACGCAAATATTGGCGAACGGCACGCCGCGCGCGACCACCGCCCGCGTACTGCTCGTAGTGTCGTGCCCCCGCGCCCCGCACCCCCGCGCCCACTCGTCACCATGCACCGCGTCTCTAGTACTCCGTGCTACAATCATTGAGCCTGTGCTAGCACTTGGATTTCTCCATCAGCGCAATAAATATGCCAGTGACATATTCGCGCACCTCTGACGCGGCCCACCAGCGGTGAGTGTTTGACAATATTTGCAATAATATTTCGTAGAGCGTTGGCCGCGGTGATATTTCATTCGGGAATGACACGTTTATTATCACTTTATTTTATAAACAAGTTATTTTTTTAATAATCTGATATATATTCTTAAATTGTAAAAAAAAAAAAATACAGCACACGGAAATGTTTACAAAATAAAAGTAATAGTAAGATTCATAAAATGTATAAATAGAATTGGATAGAACAAAAAATGTTTGGAAAGTAAAATACTTACGTGTGCGACAAATTGTATCGGAGTCTAG